ACCATTGATGACTGTATTACTACACACCTGGACGCCATTGATGACTGTGGTATTACTGTACCACTGGACACCATTGATGACTGTATTACTGTACCACTGGACACCATTGATGACTGAGGAATTACTGTACCACCGAACACCATTGATGACTGTGGTATTACTGTACCACTGGGCACCATTGATGACTGTATTACTACACACCTGGACACCATTGATGACTGGGGTATTACTGTACCACTGGACACCATTGATGACTGTGGTATTACTGTACCACTGGACACCATTGATGACTGTGGTATTACTGTACCACTGGACACCATTGATGACTGTGGTATTACTGTACACCTGGGCACCATTGATGACTGGTATTACTGTACCACTGGATACCATTGATGACTGTGGTATTACTGTACCACTGGACACCATTGATGACTGTGGTATTACTGTACACCTGGGCACCATTGATGACTGGTATTACTGTACCACTGGACACCATTGATGACTTGGGTGTTACTGTACCACTGGACACCATTGATGACTGGGGTATTACTGTACACTGGACACCATTGATGACTTGGGTGTTACTGTACCACTGGACACCATTGATGACTGGGATATTACTGTACACTGGACACCATTGATGACTTGGGTGTTACTGTACCACTGGACACCATTGATGACTGGGGTATTACTGTACACTGGACACCATTGATGACTGGGGTATTACTGTACCCTCCTGGTCACCATTGATGACTGGGGTATTACTGTACCACTGGACACCATTGATGACTGTGGTATTACTGTACCACTGGACACCATTGATGACTGTGGTATTACTGTACCACTGGACACCATTGATGACTGTGGTATTACTGTACCACTGGACACCATTGATGACTGTGGTATTACTGTACCACTGGACACCATTGATGACTGTGGTATTACTGTACCTCTGGACACCATTGATGACTGTGGTATTACTGTACCCTCCTGGTCACCATTGATGACTGGGGTATTACTGTACCACTGGACACCATTGATGACTGGGGTATTACTGTACCACTGGACACCATTGATGACTGGGGTATTACTGTACCACTGGACACCATTGATGACTGTGGTATTACTGTACCACTGGACACCATTGATGACTGTGGTATTACTGTACCACTGGACACCATTGATGACTGTGGTATTACTGTACCTCTGGACACCATTGATGACTGTGGTATTACTGTACCCACCTGGACACCATTGATGACTGTGGTATTACTGTACCCTCCTGGACACCATTGATGACTGTGGTATTACTCAACACTGGACACCATTGATAACTGTGGTATTACTGTACCACTGGACACCATTGATGACTGTGGTATTACTGTACCCTCCTGGTCACCATTGATGACTGGGGTATTACTGTACCACTGGACACCATTGATGACTGGGGTATTACTGTACCACTGGACACCATTGATGACTGGGGTATTACTGTACCACTGGACACCATTGATGACTGTGGTATTACTGTACCACTGGACACCATTGATGACTGTGGTATTACTGTACCACTGGACACCATTGATGACTGTGGTATTACTATACCACTGGACACCATTGATGACTGTGGTATTACTGTACCACTGGACACCATTGATGACTGTGGTATTACTGTACACCTGGGCACCATTGATGACTGTATTACTGTACCACTGGACACCATTGATGACTGTGGTATTACTGTACACCTGGACACCATTGATGACTGGGGTATTACTGTACCACTGGACACCATTGATGACTGTGGTATTACTGTACCACTGGACACCATTGATGACTGTGGTATTACTGTACACCTGGGCACCATTGATGACTGTATTACTGTACCACTGGACACCATTGATGACTGTGGTATTACTGTACACCTGGACACCATTGATGACTGGGGTATTACTGTACCACTGGACACCATTGATGACTGTATTACTGTACCACTGGACACCATTGATGACTGTGGTATTACTGTACCACTGGACACCATTCATGGCGGTCAACAAGTCTGGCAATAATGATAAAGGAGTAATAACCATTAATGTTAAGTATTGGTGATGGTTGATGGCACTGAGCGCCAATTGTTAAGGCGCGACCCGTCGACTACCACTAACTACTCTGGGGGATGAAGGGGCGTTATGGGGCGAGGGTAGGAGGGGGTGTAGGGTAGGAGGTAGGGGAGAGGGAAGGTAGGAGGTAGGGGAGGAGGGGGTGTAGGGTAGGAGGTAGGGGAGGAGGGGGTGTAGGGTAGGAGGTAGGGGAGGAGGGGGTGTAGGGTAGGAGGTAGGGGAGGGGGAAGGTAGGAGGTAGGGGAAGAGATGGGGTGGTTGGTAATCACCGTAAAAGCTCTGAGGACCCCGGAAGCTGGAGGAACTCAGTACACAGCTGCTGGAAAGACTCTAGTGTTGTCATAGTTTCTACTTCCCCCTGGCACTCTCGCCTGGCACCTGTGACTGGCACCTGTGACTGGCACCTGTGACTGGCACCTGTGACTGGCACCTGTGACTGGCACCCTGTATTCCCCTATTCCTGCTTATAAGAGTCATAATTCCCCATCTGTAAATAACTAGAAGAAGTTTAGTTTGATTTCATGACACTTGAGAGAAACCATGATGTTGCTGTGTGAAGATATTCAATATTAAGTTATTTTGGGATGAGTCTATCAGGCGTGTCCTCCAGGATAAATATGGCGGTGCAAGAGAGAGGAAAGCTTCCCGCGCGGGGGCGCGAGGCTCCCCGGTGCATTGTGGGTACAGCTCCAGCCATGACGTGATTGGTCGACGGCGGGGGGCTTAGCCAGGTTGACCAATGGTGTCGCGGCACGGGCGTGACGTAGCACGACGGCAGGCGCCAATGCCGGGGAGCGGGAAATTTGAACTCGCTTTCTATCAGACGTCGAGCTGAGCGGACGTGCGCTCCAGAGCTCACCCGTTAGGGAGATGTATAAGGCCTCCAGTGGGGGATAATTCCAGCAGCTAATGTGTGCAAACGAAGAGGTGGAGGCTGTACTTTTAAGGGTCCGAGTACAGGGGGTAAATTCACGAAGCAGTTACGCAAGCACTTACGAACCTGTACATCTTTTCTCAAATCTTTGGCGGCTTTGTTTACAATTATTAAAGAGTTAATGAGCTCCGAAGCACCAGGGGGGTGTTTATAACAATAACAACAGTTAATTTGGCACGTTTCCATGCTTGTAAACTGTTTAATAAATGTAACCGAAGCCGTCAAAGTTTGAGGAAAGATCTACACGATCGTAAGTGCTTGCGTAACTGCTTCGTGAATCTGGCCCCACGTCGTCAAGGGTTTGAATTCGTGTCAAAATCTAAAAAGCAATTCCAAACAACTCATTCACTCCAACACTTTAAAAAAAAAAGTGTTAGGGATCAAATTGCTTCTTTTAAAATTGAAATCGACTTTTGAAAACAAAATGAACATATCCACTTCATATTCGCTGACTTTGTGCTAAAGTCGAATTAAAATTCATAGGTTCTTCACACACTTCAAGTGAATATATATTCTCGATAGAGAAAACGGTTTCAATATTCCTTGCACGCATTTATTTTTTTCTCTGAAGGCAAAAAGAGGGATGTCATGCTGTCATCAAGGCATGACAGTCTAGAAGATCACCTCTACACTGTACATCACATGACAGCTTTGATTGTGACACAGACAGACGTAAAATATATCAAGTAATAATGTATTATGACGTAGTAGTCATCGTCAGACTGCGAGGTATACTGACTGGATCAGTCGTTGGGGTATACTGTGTCAGTCGTTGGGGTATACTGACTGTGTCAGTCGTTGGGGTATACTGACTGTGTCAGTCGTTGGGGTATACTGACTGTGTCAGTCGTTGGAGTATACTGACTGTGTCAGTCGTTGGGGTATACTGACTGTGTCAGTCGTTGAGGTATACTGTGTCAGTCGTTGGGGTATACTGACAGTGTCAGTCGTTGGGGTATACTGACAGTGTCAGTCGTTGGGGTATACTGACTGTGTCAGTCGTTGAGGTATACTGTGTCAGTCGTTGGGGTATACTGACAGTGTCAGTCGTTGGGGTATACTGACAGTGTCAGTCGTTGGGGTATACTGACAGTGTCAGTCGTTGGGGTATACTGACTGTGTCTGTCGTTGTGGTATACTGTCTGTGTCAGTCGTTGGGGTATACTGACTGTGTCTGTCGTTGTGGTATACTGACTGTGTCAGTCGTTGGGGTATACTGACTGTGTCAGTCGTTGGGGTATACTGACTGTGTCAGTCGTTGGGGTATACTGTCTGTGTCAGTCGTTGGGGTATACTGACTGTGTCAGTCGTTGGGGTATACTGTCTGTGTCAGTCGTTGGGGTATACTGACTGTGTCAGTCGTTGGGGTATACTGACTGTGTCAGTCGGGGGTATACTGACTGTGTCAGTCGTTGGGGTATACTGACTGTGTCATCGTTGGGGGTATACTGACTGGGTCAGTCGTTGGGGTATACTGTGTCAGTCGTTGGGGTATACTGACTGTGTCAGTCGTTGGGGTATACTGACTGTGTCAGTCGTTGGGGTATACTGACTGTGTCAGTCGTTGGGGTATACTGACTGTGTCTGTCGCTGGGGTATACTGACTGTCAGTCGTTGGGGTATACTGACTGTGTCAGTCGTTGGGGTATACTGACTGTGTTAGTCGCTGGGGTTCTGACTGTGCCAGTCGTTGGGGTATACTGACTGTGTCAGTCGTTGGGGTATACTGACTGTGTCAGTCGTTGGGGTATACTGACTGTGTCAGTCATTGGGGTACTGACTGTGCCAGTCGTTGGGGTATACTGACTGTGTCAGTCATTGGGATATACTGATTGCGAATTGTTATTCACGATTTTAATTGTATATTTCAGCAGACCTTTTGGCAAGATTTACAGTCTCATTAGCAGCAAACAGGAGGGGACAGGGCGTTGTGGTTCAGTATTACCATGGGGAAGGATTACACAAAGCGGATTAGTCTGCTGAGCATAAATTCACAAGAGGCGGATCACAATCTGAAGGAACACGTGCCGCTATTACATCGTGGACCCCCACTCTTGGACCCCATTCTTCGAGCCCATGCTGATCCGAAGGCAAGGCTTCTTACCCCAAGGTTCTTGCCCCATTTTCCTTGTATGTCCAAGAACTCATTATGAGGGGAAGGTCAGGGCCACATTATACCTAACTACGGCACACTCCTTGATAAAGGTCAGCGCCATTACTAACGACTACAAATTTCAGCTAAGTGCAGTGACTGTGTGAACCCATCAAGAGGGTCATCCAGGATACCTGCTTTAAGACCTGGGCAGCTGGCTCCAGGTGGCCCTGGCTGGCTCCAGGAGGCCCTGGCTGACTCCAGGAGGCCCTGGCTGACTCCAGGAGGCCCTGGCTGACTCCAGGAGGCCCTGGCTGACTCCAGGAGGCCCTGGCTAACTCCAGGAGGCCCTGGCTGGCTCCAGGAGGCCCTGGCTGACTCCAGGAGGCCCTGGCTGGCTCCAGGAGGCCCTGGCTGGCTCCAGGAGGCCCTGGCTGACTCCAGGAGGCCCTGGCTGACTCCAGGAGGCCCTGGCTGGCTCCAGGAGGCCCTGGCTGGCTCCAGGAGGCCCTGGCTGGCTCCAGGAGGCCCTGGCTGGCTCCAGGAGGCCCTGGCTGGCTCCAGGTGGCCCTGGCTGGCTCCAGGTGGCCCTGACTGGCTCCAGGAGGCCCTGGCTGACTCCAGGAGGCCCTGGCTGACTCCAGGAGGCCCTGGCTGACTCCAGGAGGCCCTGGCTGACTCCAGGAGGCCCTGGCTGACTCCAGGAGGCCCTGGCTAACTCCAGGAGGCCCTGGCTGGCTCCAGGAGGCCCTGGCTGACTCCAGGAGGCCCTGGCTGGCTCCAGGAGGCCCTGGCTAGCTCCAGGAGGCCCTGGCTGACTCCAGGAGGCCCTGGCTGACTCCAGGAGGCCCTGGCTGACTCCAGGAGGCCCTGGCTGGCTCCAGGAGGCCCTGGCTGGCTCCAGGAGGCCCTGGCTGGCTCCAGGAGGCCCTGGCTGGCTCCAGGTGGCCCTGGCTGGCTCCAGGTGGCCCTGGCTGGCTCCTGAAGGCCCTGGCTGGCTCCAGGAGGCCCTGGCTGGCTCCAGGAGGCCCTGGCTGGCTCCAGGAGGCCCTGGCTGGCTCCAGGAGGCCCTGGCTGGCTCCAGGAGGCCCTGGCTGGCTCCAGGAGGCCCTGGCTGACTCCAGGAGGCCCTGGCTGGCTCCAGGAGGCCCTGGCTGGCTCCAGGAGGCCCTGGCTGGCTCCAGGAGGCCCTGGCTGGCTCCAGGTGGCCCTGGCTGGCTCCTGGCCCTGGCTGAAGGCACTGGCTGGCTCCAGGTGGCCCTGGCTGGCTCCTGAAGGCCCTGGCTGGCTCCAGGAGGCCCTGGCTGGCTCCAGGTGGCCCTGGCTGGCTCCAGGAGGCCCTGGCTGGCTCCAGGAGGCCCTGGCTGGCTCCAGGAGGCCCTGGCTGGCTCCAGGTGGCCCTGGCTGGCTCCAGGAGGCCCTGGCTGGCTCCAGGAGGCCCTGGCTGGCTCCAGGTGGCCCTGGCTGGCTCCAGGTGGCCCTGGCTGGCTCCTGAAGGCATTGGCTGGCTCCAGGTGGCCCTGGCTGGCTCCTGAAGGCCCTGGCTGGCTCCAGGAGGCCCTGGCTGGCTCCAGGTGGCCCTGGCTGGCTCCAGGAGGCCCTGGCTGGCTCCAGGTGGCCCTGGCTGGCTCCAGGAGGCCCTGGGCTGGCTCCAGGAGGCCCTGGCTGGCTCCAGGAGGCCCTGACTGGCTCCAGGTGGCCCTGGCTGGCTCCAGGAGGCCCTGGCTGGCTCCAGGTGGCCCTGGCTGGCTCCTGAAGGCCCTGGCTGGCTCCAGGAGGCCCTGGCTGGCTCCAGGTGGCCCTGGCTGGCTCCTGAAGGCCCTGGCTGGCTCCAGGAGGCCCTGACTGGCTCCAGGTGGCCCTGGCTGGCTCCAGGTGGCCCTGACTGGCTCCAGGTGGCCCTGGCTGGCTCCTGAAGGCCCTGGCTGGCTCCAGGAGGCCCTGGCTGGCTCCAGGTGGCCCTGGCTGGCTCCAGGTGGCCCTGGCTGGCTCCAGGAGGCCCTGGCTGGCTCCAGGTGGCCCTGGCTGGCTCCAGGAGGCCCTGGCTGGCTCCAGGTGGCCCTGACTGGCTCCAGGTGGCCCTGGCTGGCTCCTGAAGGCCCTGGCTGGCTCCAGGAGGCCCTGGCTGGCTCCAGGAGGCCCTGACTGGCTCCAGGTGGCCCTGGCTGGCTCCAGGACTACTAATCCTTGTTAATTACTGCTGTGTTATCTCGTAGTTATTGATTAACATCGTGGAGGAACATTTCCGGCCAGTTTACCAAGGAAACTCTTGATTAGCAGCTGGTGGAAAGTAAACCTCTAGCTCTGCAATACTTTGCAACACTACACACACTCGTTCCTCCTAGGTTGTGATAGGGAGTAGACACACCCTTCAAAAACACAATTTTCTTCCCTGAACTAGAAACTCTTCTCCCCAGAAGTTAACCCAGCCCTGAAGAGCAAGTGAGTGGTTGACTGGTTGGCCCTAGTTGCCTGGTTGATGGGGTTCTGGGAGTTCTTCTACTCCCCAAGCCCGGCCCGAGGCCAGGCGCGACTTGTGAGAGTTTGGTCCACCAGACTGTTGCTTGGAGCAGCCCGCAGGCCCACATATACCTGGTTGATGGGGTTCTGGGAGTTGTTCTACTCCCCAAGCCCGGCCCGAGGCCAGGCGCGACTTGTGAGAGTTTGGTCCACCAGGCTGTTGCTTGGAGCGGCCCGCAGGCCCACATACCCACCACAGCCCGGTTGGTCCGGCACTCCTTGGAGGAATAAATCTAGTTTCCTCTTGAAGATGTCCACGGTTGTTCCGGCAAATAACGCGATGATTGTAATCTTCGCTTAAGTTTTTGGTTGGGTTAATTATCTCGGTTCGACTATATATAGAGCCAAACAGGAGGAGATATGGCTCTGTGGTCGAACTCCTCCCCCCCCCTCCCAAGAAGGGGGCCTTCCATCAGCCACACAAGAAAACGGTTTAGTTCGGGTTAGAGTCGTGGTCAGGAAGGATTGTCTGGGCGTTTATCCTTAACTGCCCTCCTCCCCCCCCCCTCTCCACCCAGCAGTAATTGGGTGTCCGGTTGTTAACCAATTAGCGGATCAGGCTCCAAGGGAAAACTAATGGATCGCACACTCCACGTCAAGGAATATATATATATATATATATATATATATATATATATATATATATATATATATATATATATATATATATATATATATATATATATATATATATATACAGTATTGTATTACAAAAGTGACGATACCTATAAGATGCAAGTTACTGTAGCACATCTTTTATTTAATATATGAACGAAAACGATTTTGATTTCAGAAAAGGTTGCAAAGGAGAATGGACTTGAACGGCCCCCCACTCACTCGAGGGGGGCGAGGTAGCGAACCTTTCCTGTAAACATGAGACACACAGCTATGCATAACAGCGTGTAAAGGTCTAGCATCACTCACAGTTAGCGTGAGCCGCCGCTATCACAACCACCACTACTGTGGCCCTCCCAGGGGCCACATGGCCCTACTGCCAGGGCCACGTGGCCCCTACTGCCAGGGCGGCGTCGTGGCCCACCAGGCCACGCCACCAACCAACCATTACTCTTCATTGTCAGGCGAGTGGGTTGGTCTGGGGCATTAGGGGACTCCTGTCTCAGCCTCCTCACCTGGTCCACCTTGAGAGACGGGAGTGGGAGTCTCTAATGCTTCCCACGCATTACTAAACTTTCTCAGCGCTCAGTACAAGGTACCTTACCAAAGGTCATGTTATGTAAACGGTTTCTAATATGATGGGTCTTCAGGCTGGTCCGGGTCAGGCTTAGTGCAGGAGTGAATCCTCTCTACACGAAACAACTAACAATCACTACGGTACATATGTTCCTGCAAGAGCGTACACACACACACACACACACACACACACACACCTGCGAGGTACTGAATGCAAAATTCCATGGAGTGTTCACTACCGAGCCTGAGCAGCTCCCATTGTTAGAAGAGATTACCCAAGATGAAAGACTATCAGATATAGAGGTGACAGCAGAGGATGTAATGAAACAGTTGACAACACTGGATGCAAATAAAGCTGTTGGACCAGACAAAGTATCACCGTGGATACTTAAAGAGGCAGCGCAGGCTCTCAGCGTGCCTCTGGCAATGATCTTCAATGAGTCACTTATGTCGGGAGAATTGCCCAGTTGCTGGAAGGAGGCAAATGTCGTACCGATTTTCAAAAAGGGGGATAGGGAGGAGGCACTTAACTACAGACCCGTATCACTGACAAGCATCCCCTGCAAAATACTTGAAAGAATAATTAGGCTAAGACTTGTTGAGCACCTGGAGAGCATTGGGTTTGTAAACAAGCACCAACATGGGTTCTGGACAGGGAAATCATGCCTAACAAACCTTTTAGAATTCTATGATAAAGTAACAAGGATAAGGCAGGACAGAGAAGGCTGGGCAGACTGCATATTTCTTGACTGCCAAAAGGCCTTTGATACGGTACCGCACATGAGACTGCTATACAAACTTGAGAGGCAGGCAGGAGTAAGCGGAAAGGCCCTAGTATGGGTGAAGAACTACCTAACAGGAAGGAGCCAGAGGGTAATGGTAAGGGGCGAAAAGTCGGACTGGCGAACAGTAACAAGTGGAGTACCTCAAGGATCGGTGCTGGGACCAATCCTCTTTCTAATTTACGTAAATGATATGTTTACAGGAGTGGAATCATACATGTCGATGTTTGCAGATGACGCAAAATTAATGAGAAGAGTTGTGACAGACGAGGATTGTAGGATCCTCCAAGAGGACTTAAACAGGCTGCAGAGATGGTCAGAGAAATGGCTACTGGAGTTTAACACCAGTAAATGTAAAGTTATGGAAATGGGATCAGGTGACAGGAGACCAAAGGGACAGTACACAATGAAGGGGAACAGCCTACCTGTAACGATTCGAGAAAGAGACCTGGGAGTGGATGTGACACCTAATCTAACTCCTGAGGCACATATAAATAGGATAACGACAGCAGCGTACTCTACACTGGCGAAAATTAGAACTTCAT